CTTTCTAAGTTGACTGAGGCCTGCCTCGGATATTTTAAGTTCACACCTGGAGCACTGCAGTGTTGTGGGCAGAGGAGGGACACACCTGTCTTCTGTTTTAATGTCATCACTGTCTGCAGCAGTGAGAACAGGCTCTCGAGGGGCTTGTGAAAGGAACGTAAATCTTGAGGTGCTGCAATCGCTAAAGGAAAGGGTCTAGCAGGGGATTGCTTAGGGCCATCAGCCCTCTGCCCACTGAGGCGAAAGCATATCCAATTGCCTCCTTTAAAGAAGCTAATTAGAAACTCAAAAGAATGAAACCATTTGTCTCTGATCCGCCTCGACCCCCTTCCGCTCTCCCCCACCTGCTTTGCACGGTCTCGCCTTTCCAGGCTGAACCACCTTGTTTATCTTACGTATGTTGATTGATTCTCCTGTCTCCCTAGAATGTGTAAAACCAAACTGTGCTCTGACCACCTTGGGCACATTTGATCTGGAGCTCCTGAGGCTGTCACGGGCACGTCCTCAACCATGGCAAAATAAACTTCCTACATCAGCTGAGGTTTGTCTCAGATGTTTGGGGTCCACAGGCTCAACAGCAGGAAGGAACCCCCCACCCAACCATCCCCTGCAGGTGGCCAGTGTGGGTCCTGGAGGAGGGCAGGGCAGCTTGGTCATGGGCCCTTGGGAGTGTGGCCGGCGGGGAGACTGGGAAGCTGAGCCTTCTGGCAGGTGGGTGCAGGAGCACCACGGCTGGGGATTGTCGGGGAGTGGGTGGGGGTCCAGTGAGCCTTCTGCACAGAGCAGGCACTGTTGTGTGAGTCCAGAGCTGGGGACCCACACCAGTGTTTCTAAGGGAAGTCCGGGCTACAGACATGAATGAGAGTCATCAGCGTCCAGAGGCATCTACAGCTGCAGAGACAAGACCGGGGCGGACCTTGAGCCCTAACAGGACCCCTCACCACGGACATTCTGGGATTAGGGAGGGCAGGGAGGAGGCTGAGGAGGGGTGCATCCACCGCAGGAGTCCAAAGGCTCCCTGAGGTCCCTGGGGTCCCCCTGCTGGCCCCTTGCAGACTGCACCCCATCTTCCCGCCCCCCCCCCAGGCTCTCTCCTTCTCAGGTGCCCTGTGACAGCTGCCCTCCCTCCCTGTCCCCTTGCAGGGACGCCTGTGCTCCCGGGGCCTGGAGCTCGTGCTCTGAGTGTGTCAGGGACAGACTGGAGTTCAGAGTCCTGGGAATACACGGGCTGTGGTTTCGGCAGCTCTGGTTCTGAGGAGGGGGCTCCTGAATATCCCTGAATTGTGAGGCCCATGGCCCTGAGGCGGCACCTCCAACTCCTCTCGGCCTGGGGGGGGCTCTGGCCAACGGTCTACCCACCGCCCACTGCCCACTTGGCCAGCAGCCTGTGATGGGGGTGGGGGGTCTCTGCCACTGCCCGGCAGCAGCCTTCCAAGGGGGGCTCCCTGATGGGATGTCCATCAGGAGAGGCCCTGCTGGGTGGTCTGAGGCAGCCTCAAACGGGTGCTCCCTGGTGTGGCGCTGGGGGGCCGGCCACACACTCGGCCTGCAGGCTATAATTTGTGTTAAATATAACGCTGAGGGGCTGGGCTGGGAGCGGCAGCCGGGCTATAAGCAAGAGGGTGCCCACCCTCCCAGCTCCAGTCTGAGTGTGGAAGAGACGGCGCTGGAACCCATGGACACGGCGTATCCCCGAGAGGACCCCCGGGCCCCCACGCCCAGCAAGGCCGGCGCCCACACAGCGCTGACACTGGGGGCCCCGCAGCCCCCACCCCGGGACCACCTGATCTGGTCGGTGTTCAGCACCCTCTACCTGAACCTGTGCTGCCTCGGCTTCCTGGCGCTGGCTAACTCCATCAAGGTGGGTGAGGGGGGGTGGAGGGAGGGAGCAGGGGGCAGGGCGTGGGGAGCTTCTCAGGGGTCCTTGCCCTATTGGGGGCCACAGGGGGCTCTGCTTGCCAGTGAGGGTCTCTGTGGGCACCGCTTGTGAAGGTGACTCCATCAGCATGGCCCGGAAAGAGCCCCTCACAGAGGCAAGGCCACCAGGCTTCTCCATTAAACATGGGCGCCTCTTCTTAAGGCGGTCTGGCCCACCCAAGAGCACAGAGGCCACTAGGAGGCACCCAGAGAGGTGTCTGTCATCAAGGGGGCTCACATGCTGTGGGCCTCTTGAACAGTGCTCCCTTTGACTTTAGCTCCTGAGTGGCAGGGTGCAGGGTGTCTCAGCACCCTGGGGGACCCTCACACATAGAGCTCTTACAGACTCACACTGGCCTTGGATGGCCCCTGGGTCCATAGCTGGGGCCCCAGGGAGTGCCTCCTCAGGCCACACCTCTCCAGCCAGATTTTGAGGCCTTCTAGGTGCCCGGGGTGGGGGTGGGAAGGGCCCCCAGGCCCTGAGGACATGTAGACATCTGGGCCTGTGGCCACCCTGCAGGCCCGGGATCAGAAGGTGGCCGGGGACCTGGAAGCCGCCCGGCGTTTCGGCTCCAAAGCCAAGTGCTACAACATCCTGGCCGCGATGTGGACACTGGTGCCGCCGCTGCTGCTCCTGGGCCTGGTGGTGACTGGCGCCCTGCACCTGGCCCGGCTGGCCAAGGGCTCCGCCACCTTCTTCAGCACCAAGTTTGAGGATGGGGACTACGACTGACGGGCTGGGTCCTGACGGGGGGCCCCAGCCCCAGGACACTGACCCCACGGTGCTCCCCTGAGCCTGGCCCTTCTGTGGGGCCTCCATCCCTGCCCCATCCTGACCCTGGGCCCTCCAGCCCCAACACGGGTACCTCACGCTGACCCAGCCAGACCCCAGGGGCCTCACCCTAACCTGAAGGCCCAGGCCCTAGCTCTGCCCCCCGCCCCCCTCCTCACATTCCAGGCTCCTTGGTTTCACAATTAAAAGTACCTGGTTCCAGAAAGCGCCTCCTGGGTCTCCTTCCTGCCCAGCATAGGGGAAGGAGCTGCCCTAGGGACCACCGAAGCCAAATGCCACGGGGCCGAGTGAGTCAACGGCAGGAGGTCCCCCGGCAGCTGTGCAGCTCCGCTGTTCCGCTGGCCACGTCCTGTCTGGCGCCCTCTCCGTCGCTGGGCAGCCTGTGGCTTCTGGGGTGGAGGCCCAGAGTATTTTCAGCTGCAGTTTGGGACCCAGGCCTTTGATCTCTGCTACTCCGTGGTTTAGCGGCCTGTGCTCCAGAACATCCCGGGTGTGTCCCAACTCCACGTGGGCCCCAAGTCTGCGTGGGGTCCTCTGGTGTGTGCCTCCTTCCTCCTGGGTCATTCGCCCGTCCCCATGACCCTGGCTCCCCCTTAATTCTGAGAAATCCCAGTCCCACGGTGGTTTCCCTTCCTCTTAGGCCAGTGGGGGTGTCTGGGAAAGCAGGGTGGGGACCATCCCACGGGTGGGGCTGGACACACACACATCACACACATGGCGCAGGGTCACAGCCCCCCCCCCACAGCTGTATCCAGAGAGACAGAAAACCGGCATGTGTGCGGTTTGCTGAGTCCCCTGGTGCTGGTGGGCGTTTTTCATATTGTTTTGCACCAAAGCCTCCCCCAGGACGGGCGACGGGAGGGTGCTGGGGACACGCACACCCTGACGCCTTGTGGAGGCTGCCCCTGCCAGGACGTGGGGGTTAACCGCAGGGGCTGCAACCGCACAGTGGCCCAGGGTTCTGAGCCCCCCACCCAGGGGCCTTTCCCTCCCCAGGGATCCCCCTTGCCTTCCCGCTCTCCCTCGGCTGGGGTGGGAATCTTTATCTAGTTGGTGTACTTGGAGCCCTGGGCTGCACCCCCTAACTGTGATGTGCCTGCAGCCAACAGCAGGCACAGCCAGGACTTCGTGGGCAGGCCCAGCCAGCCCTGGAGGCAGGTGTGCGGAGGCTACGCTGGGCACTGGAGACAGACAGGGCCAGTCCCACATGGACCAAGGACAAGGGCAGCATGCCCACCTGAGCCTGGCTTGGGAGAGTGTGCCAGCCACAAGCCCCAGGACTGGCCAGAGAAGGGACCAAACTGTGCTGGGTGCAGAGGCTGGCGGGGAGTCAGCCCACGTGTGGCTGGACACGTGTCCCCAGGGACAAGACGGTCTGCTAGTCCCAGGCTTATGGAGGGGCAGGGACCATCTGGCCCATGCCCAGGTGCTGAGGCCAGTGGCTGGGTAAGCCACCTTGGGGGAAGGGTCACCAGCACCTCCCTGCCTCAGGCTCCTGGACCCTGGCCAGCTACACAGGCACACATGCACTGACCATCACAACCCCCAAAAGGGTCCCCTCAGGGGGTGCAGAGCTGACCACACCTGCGTGTGGCATGCACATGCAGTAGGCTTCAGGCCACATATCTCCTGCCACCCTGGCCTGACACCTGTGCCCACAGCACCCTGGCAGGGAGGAGGGGCCCATGCTTCCCTCGGGGACCTGCTTCTGCCTCTCACTGCCCAGTGACAGCGCTGGATGGGACGCAGCTCTGCAGCAGAGGGAGCCTGTAGGGGCTGCATTCCCCGAGGCTCCCGCCAGGCACTGGCCCGCACACTGGCCCACAGCCCCTCTCCACCGCGGCCATGAGCCCAGCAAGTAAGCTGCGTGGTCACGGCAGGTGTAAGACACGTGGTGTCCACAGGTCTCGGCCATCTCACTCCACAGTTTCTGTCGGGGGAGCCGAGAAAACTGGGAGGCCTCTGAGTGCCGTCCCGGCTGCGTGAGTCCCCAGCACACTCACTCCCACACGCTGCTCCTGGCAGCCGCGGAGCGTGGCAGAGACAAGGAGACAAGCCCTGGGAGACACGGGCATCCTGATCCCCAGAGCCGCACAGGTGTCCTTGCCTGCCTGCCTCCCTCCCTCCCTGGGGTCTCCATCGAAGCTTGCTCCTGGAAAGGGTGCAGCCGCAAGGCCAGCGCAGGGGAGGTGCAGATTCGGGGGGACCCAGGCTGCCTGACCCAAGTGAAATGGGAAGCGGGACCCAGGGCACGGTCCTTACTTCAGAAGGAAGGAAGCACAGTGGCTCCTTAGAGGAATAATGCTCTTCCCGGCACCAAAGCTTTAATCCCTCAGGCTGACGTGCTGCAGGGGTCCTGGCCCTCATCAGCGCTGCAGCATCTTGTTCTTGGGAAACTGCTGACGCCCCAACCCTGGGGCTGAGGCTCGGCAGGGCCTCGACCCCACGCGCATCGGGCTCCAGTCCCTCTGGCTGGTCAGTGGAGGGCGCTGGGGTCTCGCCCTCAGGTCCCTCTGTCCCATTCTCTGGTGACTTCCCACTTCCCACCGCTCTCCCTACAAGCTGCATGGTTGCGGAAAGAGCCGCCATGCCCCACCCTGGGAGAGGCCGCCCAACCGGATCGAGGCGCCCAGAGTCGAGAGGAGCCTGGGATTGAGATTAAACCCCCAACGTGCCGGACTCTCAACTGCGTGACGTGAAAAGTTCCTTTTTGGCAAAGCTGCGCCTGAGAGTCCTGGAGAATTCTGAAGGTGGCCGAGCCCCTTCCTTCACACCCCTTATCCCTGCCGTCCACGCTCAGCTCTGCACCTGCCTCTGCCCTCTCAGCAGAGAGCTGCAGGTCACGGTGACCAAGGCACTCAGGGAGAAGGGGACGAGAGGCCAGAGGTGACGCAGGCCCAGACCCGGCCTTCAGGAGCTTGGGGCGGTGCCCCAGGATGGTGGGTGATGGCATCCGTCCACGGGCAGGCAGACGTGGCGTGGGGATGCCATGGGGAAGCCCACGGGTGTCCAGGCTGGGGAGGGGTTCAGGCTAGAGTTGAAAAGCCTTGAACTTCAGGCTAAGCAGCGTGGACTCTCCCTGAGCGCCTGGCTGGCAGGCTAGGAGTGTGTCCAGGAGGGGTGGGTGCGGGAGTGGCCACAGGGAAGGCCCAGGAAACATTTCTAAAGCCGACGCTCCTGATTATTCAAGGGCAGGTTCCAGGGTGAGTGACTCAGTGGGGCAGGAGGGACCAAGGGTGACCCAGAGGGGCCCTTCGGGCTCTGGAGCAGGTACCTAACATCTTTGAGAAGTCCTGCCAGGAAACTTGGAGCTGGAGCTTCCAGGCAGCTTCGGGGGTGACCTTCGTATCTGGCCAGCCGAGCGGGGAAAGGAGGCCTTGTGTCCTGCAGGGAGAGGGGGACAGCCTGGGGGTGAGGAGACAGCCTGGTGGACAGCCTATGGCCACAGGCGCCTGGGCTCTTGGGGGCTGGCATGGTCTTCTACCTGGCGGCAGGGTGAGTCGGGCCTGGGACGGCCACAGCTCAGCCTCCAGAGGAGGGGCCCAGGGCCCCGCTCGGGCCGTGACCTCCACGGTCACAGAGTCCTCGGAGAAAGAGAAGTTTAGCTTGTTCCCCTGGTAGAAGATGCCGGAGACGCTCACTCTGGAGATGCCCGATGGGCACACAGGGTCGAAGGTCACACCTGACCGGGTGAGCCTGGGGAAGGAGAGGTCTGTGAGGCGGCAGGTGGGGTACGGGCTTCCCTCTGCCGGCCTCTGCACTTGCCTGAACCCCGTGCACCCGAAGAGCACTGCCTGCAGGAAGCCCCCCATGCCCGTCAGGAAGTTCACAGCGCCTGACCCATCCGAGTTCTCCGTCCACACCTGCAGGGGCAAAGGCAGCTGACACCTGGACCCCCAGGACACTGTCCTCTCTGGGCTGCAGTCGGAGGTCAGGCTGGACGCTCCAGGGCTGCACCCTGCTGTGCCCGCTCTGGGGCCCGGCTCCAGTCCTACCGTGAGGGGCCCAGTGGGAGGCAGGCGTGGCCAGGCTGACCTTGAAGGGCTCAGCCACGTTGGCAAAGCTCCTGTCCAGGAGGCCCCGGGCCCGCGCCGTGTCCTTCAGCTCCATCCAGCCCACAGCAAACATGCTCTGGGGTCAGAGGTAAGAGGACGCGCAGGGGTGAGGCCGACTTTGAGGGCAGAGACTGAGGCCACTGGGGCAGGAGCTCCCTACCCCCAGGCTGCTCACCCAGGTCATGGCGGGGCCCTGGGGGGATGTCACAGCCTCGTAAATCTCCAGGTTTTTCCTTCGAACCTCAGGAATCAGGGAGAAGGGGACAGGATATCCCAGGAGCACCACATCTGCCTGCTTCACCGTCTCTCCTGCGGGGAGGTGCTGCTGATGGCGGGCAGGTGCGGGTTTGGGGGTGGCAGGCGTTCCAGGACACACTCGAGGTCTCCACGGCAGGGGCAAAGGAGGCCTTGGAGGGGTCCACCCGCACTCACCAGGCTCATATCCATCGAACTCCGGGTGGAAGTTCTGCTCCACATCAAAGGGTACCTTGATGTTGTCAGCCACGGCCAGCCACTGGTGAGGGACGGGCAGTCCCAGGTCCTGGGCCAGGGCAGCAGCAAAGCGCAGGCTGGGGGCGGGGGTGGGTGAGGGAGGCTGCGACCCTGGGCTTCCAGATGCTGCCTGCGGAGGGGGCACTGGGGCAGGTCTCCAGCAGGGGCGGCGGTGGGTGAGGGGTCTTGTGTCTGACCTGTTCTGTACCAGGACGTTGGTGTACACGGAGTTGCTGACCCCTGAATGGTACTCGTCGGGGGGCATGACTCCTGGACACACAAGTCCAAGACGGTGCTCAGTGCAGAGTCTCAGAGACCTTCCCTCCACGCAGCGGTCAGCGTGGGGCCTGCACATGTGAGGTGCCTGAAAATCACCTGCTGAATCTGGGAAACCCCTTCCTCCCCACCATGGCCCTCACCTCTCAGGTGGTACTGCTCCTCCCTGGGGCTCCACTCCACACGGCTGCACCAGAACTCCGCCACGGCACTGACCACGTCCCAGCCACCAGCCTCTCGAAAGAGCTGCAGGTCCTGGGGGACGGGAGGCAGGACAGAGGCCGGAGCCCCGGTCACTGTCATTCCCAGCGGCCTGTCTGTGCCCAGAAGCAAGGCCTGGCACTGAGACACCCATCCTCGGCCAGCTTCCCAGGACTGGCCCCAAACAGGAAGCCACGCAGAGCGGGTGTGGCTACACCAGCTGCCCAGCCACGCTTGCAGGAATGGTGGACACCACACCTCACCTGGGTGGCGTGGTAGTACAGCTCGAAGGCCAGCACCACAGCCCCATTGACGTGGACCTCCTGGGCCCCGTAAATGTCCTCGGGGCAGACCTCCAGGCCAGAAACTGCACTCTCCCAGGCAAACTTGGCTCCCTGAGGAGTGGAGACAGGCAGACTTGACCTTATTGGAGGGGAGAGGTGGCCCGCCAACTGGTCCCTGGAAGAGGGGGCACAGCCTGCTCCAGGTCCCCTGGGGGGCACCACCGCTGGGAGTGCCCACTGCAAGTCCTCACTGTGGGCCAGGTGGCTTCTGCCCAGTTTTCACCATGCGCTGACCTGGGGCAGGGCACAAGGGCACCCCAAGGGGGTCCCAGCCCTGCTGAGGCCCCTCAAGCTTCAGGGTGGAGAATCCAGGACATCTCAGCTCTGTCCAGAGAGGGGCCCGGGAAGAATACAGGCCCGGGGAGGGGTTGGTGGGGGGGTTGCAGTCCCTGCCAGTGCCCAGAGTGGGGCCCAGGGAGAGTGATACAGGCTGGGAGGGCTGTGGGGGCTGCAGGGCTCTGCAGGCCAGTGCCCAGCTCCCCTCACCTGGTAGCCCAGGCTCCGGGCATTCTCCAGGGCCCCGCCCAGCGTGCGGACGCGGTACTCCAGGATGGCCCTGGCGGCCTCTGGGTGGAACATCAGGATATTCGGGAACATCCAGAGGTCCTGAGAGCACGGTGCCTTGTTCGAGTGCTGGACAGGCTCTCACGTCTCCCTCCCGCCTGGCCACGTTCCCCCAGGCACGGCTCTCCTGTTGGTGCCTTCTGGGTTCCTCCTCGGCTGCCTGCTCAGATCTGCGGCCCTCCCCACCTGCCCATCCGGTTCTGTCTCCAGCCCAGATGCTCCCGTTGTCCTGGTCCTCGGCCCCGCACTTTGCCTCCCCAGCCGGTGTTCGTGTGCCCACAGAGGCTCCGGCCGAAGGTGGACATGGGCAGCCTCAGGCCGACCAACCTGCAGCGAATGACTTGGCCTCTGGGAGCCTCATCAGAGAAAACGGCCACAGCACCAGCATGGGGAGGCTCAGACAACAACGAGCAGCCCCAGCTCTCACGGTCCTCACCTCCACGCCCAGCAGCCACTCACGGTCCACACCTCCACGCCCAGCAGCCACTCACGGTCCAC